GCTGACTTGCGGGAGAGCCGAAGCTTCTCTCTCTTACTCTCAGTACACCACACGTTCTTCTCCTTCTGGGTCGCTCGCGAGAGGCAACTACTACCCCTACCGCGCCGACGAGTTGTATGCGCGCCCCCGCGTTACTTCTCCGGAATTATGAGGATCAATACGCGCGCGCGCGCCTTCTCCACGTTCTCTGGCCTCGCGAGCTATACCGAGCGTATATATTCTACTTGTCGTTTTTCCTCCGTTTCTTCCTCTCTCTCTCTCTCTCTCTTTCTCTCTCGCTTTCGTGGGGCGGCGTCGACGTATACATGCACAGTTCCCTACACAGCTCGTTTCTCTGGACATTCGACGAATTTCTTACGCCCTTCCATGTACAACGACATTATAGTGTTCAAAATATTCTGCTCTATCTTTAAGGCAGTTTCTTTGATGACAATTTCATGGGACGAATTCAAGACATTCGAAATAATCGCCGCAGTAAATAAATTTACAAAAACTATAATGTAAATCAGTAGTTTATAAAAGCGATAAAATGATATAAATCGCTAATATTAAAATGACTTCATATAATTCACGAAAATGAATTCTTTCCCTTTGACAATTTTAATTTTAAAATATTTTTAGATTAAAATTCTTCAATTTCATAAGAATGAAGCACGAAATTTTAATTCATCGGGCACAATATTGGAACCTTAAATTTTCTCGTGTAAAATCAAAACTGGCTGTGCATGTGCAGGCGCTATCTCGTACAGCTATGCTAAAATACATGCACACCCCCGTTAAGCACAGTGAGATAGAAGTGAAAGGTGGCATTGTCGGGCGACGAGAGGGGTTATATGCGTACAAGATGGGCAAAGTCATACACGCGTATAGCATTATATAGCGGAACAATCGATACTCACGCGAACGCGCTAGAGGCGCATCGCAACCGCATCACAACCCTTCTCTCTCTCTCTCTCTCTCTCTCTCTCGCTCTCCATCTCCATATGTATATATATATGTATTTTCTCTCTCACAAGCGCGCAGCTCTTGAATAGGATAGCCAACGCGAGAGCAGGGGGAGGGTAGTAACCTCCGCGCTTTATCTATCTCTCTCCCGCTCGCTGCCCCTCCCTTCTTATTCAGCAAACTGTAAGCGGCGCGTTTCGCTTTGTGCGTGCGTAGCGCTGCACCTATATATGGTGTTGGATGACCGCAAGCTCAAACGCGCTTTCTCTTCTACGGACACGCGGCGCGCATAGCAGCAATGCTAGCGGTAGTAGTAGTAGTAGTAGCAAACGGTACAGAACCTGCTGCATAAATTCCGAAAGGATTACGCGTTGCCTGCTGCTGCTGCTTCGATCGACTGCACGTGTATATGCATATAGAACCGATGCGTCCAACACTTTGTTCAAATTACGCCCAAGTTGTAGCGGTCTATAGCAACGTGTGCCACTTTTGAAGTGATTGTACATGTACCGTATACGCACGATTCTTCGATGAAATATTCAAGAATTTCAATTGACTCTTTGCAAAAATTGATTTGTTTTCAAAGTAAAAACCCAAACATGAAAGCCCAAGACCCCAGGAGAAAAAAGAAGTTGCTGTATATATGTGTATATCCAACATCGAATTCCGCACACTTTCACCCCTTTGCAAGCGCACGGAGCAAAACAACTTTCGATACGAGGAACGTGTATAGCCACGCCGCGGCGGGGTTCGAGAGCGGAAACAATCTTCCCTCGGCCGAGCGATATACATATTATCCTATTGTCTCAACAAGAAAGTGTTTTACGTTTCTCTAACCAGGGCCGTGTATGGCTTCCGACTACCCTCTAGCTCTCATCTTCTCTGAGCGTGTAGAGTCCTTTAATGTCCGTTCCACATGCGGATAAAGTACAACGTATATATAGGCGCGCGCACCGTCCACTTCTGTAAATGGTATGAGAGAATATTGCGCAGAAACTTGCTCCGGAGTATACACGCTGCCACCAGGGACAAACGAATAGAGAAAAAGAGAAGAGGAACAGTTAAAACGCGCTCGTATACGCGTATATTTATGTATGTATCCATATAGCACGCGCGTAAATAGAAAAATCGTAAAAAAAGAGTTGAAGAGGGCAAAGTAAAGAGAGGAGGCATGAGAGAAAGAGAGAGGGAGAATCGTCGCAGAGAAAAACTAGTAAATTTTTTATCGGTAAAAACTCCATTAGAGTGAAGGAGAGAAAAAAGCGAGCGAGCGTAGCACGGTATATAGAGAAAAGTACGAACCACCCCTTGGCAGTGTTTGTTATTGGTCATCCTCTAGAAAGGGAGGTATGAGAGAAGGAGAAGGACAGGGCGTCTCTCTCTCGCTCTCTCTTTCTTTCTTGTCCGAGAGAGGGACGAATGTGTATCCATTGATCTCCGAGACAGACTCTTTTTTCTGCTCTCTTTCTCTCTTCTTCGAAGGGGTGCGCTTTTCGACTCTCGCGTGCGTGTCCGTGAACCTCGCTTGTCTTTTTTTCACATTACTCACACACGGGCTGTATGACCAGCGTTTTCTCGCTTGTATTATCCGTAGCTGAGTAAAATCGTGCTTGCGGAACGCATTGCCACCATCGGTAAGCTTTCCAAGTGTGCATGGGACTTTTTTTACTCTAAACGCGTGAACAAATCTATTTCATTCCGAGTCAAAATCCAATGAAATTGAAATTTATTCCTGAATTATGCAGCTGCAATAAAGTCAGCAAGCGAGCTTTTCGATCATTTATTATTTCTCCTATTTAACCATGATCAAAATTTATTCCTTCTTATTCGTACGCAAGTTTTTTTTTCAAACGAGCCAAATCGCCGCGAGTCGATGGGGAATAAAAATATATTATACATAGAGGCAGCTCTTTTAGCCGTTATATTTATGTTTCATTCTTTTTGACCAAACGCGCGCGAGTGTTCTATCTCGTGGAGCTTTTTTAAGATAAAAAGAGCGAGTACAGTCGGTGACGAGCACGTGCGCTCAGTAAAACGAAGAATAGCTCGGATAATCATAATACACGTTATATAGGAAGGACACGAGAGAAAGAAGCGAGCATACATTCACGTGGGCAACGGCACACTCATTTGCTTTATACACTGAATTGCGCGTCTATTTTATTGTACCATATAGACTGGCGTGTAAAACGAGAGAGACCCCCGACGCACACCCTGCGCGTGAACGACAACGAAAGCGAAAAGAAAATTCGTTTTTCACATTTATTCGAATATAGCTTTTTACCGCTACTGTGAGTAAGAGCTTATGAATGTGGTACTTTTACTAAAGTCCGATTTTTTCTCTCTAAGAGCTACTGAATAATACGATGTCATTGTTTTTGACTTACACATTATATAATTACTATAAGGACAAAATAAAAAATATTAATAAAATAATGAATCATCAATTGAATAAAGATGTAGCAAAAGGCATGCAGTTACAGGCAGCATTATCCGGACGGACGAACACTTATAAATAAGTATTGTTGTAGGATATACGTTGTAAAGGGTCAGCTGCGTTTCTTAACGTAACGCCATACATAGAACCGTCTCACACCCGCACAAGTGTGCAGTGTATATACATTGGAAGCAAGGCACAAAAGTATATAAAAATAGGGGACTCTCTCTCTCTCGCACTGTCTGACCAGCCAGAATAGAGAGAAAGAGAAAAGAAAAAGGTCGAAAACTGTGCGCGCTGCTGGCACGACGCGATGCGAGCGAAACAGTCGTCCGCATTTCCTTCTATTGCTTTTCGGGCTGTGTACTTTTGCGCGCGACGTCTAGGTGTTCTACGCACACGCTTACACGTATATGTAGCTGGAAAAATAATGGGATTCCCATCATGAAGTGGATTTCCCTCGGGGAAATGGAACTGGACATTGGCAGCGTTATGTGCACCCACCCACGCGAGCACCGACTAGTAAGAGAGAGAACAAGTGTGACGCAGATATAATACCCGCGTCATTTTATGCGAATATGTGTGTGTTTAAACGTAACATTGTATCGCGTGCGAAAAGGCAAGAGAACGTAGCAAGACCTGCTGCTCGCTCGGTACGCGACCCTTGCACGACTAACTGTCGATCCTGTGGAGTCGGTGCGTCGAGGGGAATACAACTACGAAATACGAGGCGCGAACAACGGAAAAAAGATGCATCTCGATTCAACGGCGATACTTTATGTCGACACGGTTTCTAAACATGAAAAGTCCTACTGAAATGTCTGTCTATGATAATAGCAATCAGAATTTTATTTTAGCAATGAAGTTCTCTTTGGCGGAAGGTTAACGTTTTCGAGCGAGAATTGACTGTATTTCTTATAATTGACGGTTATAATTTATACCATGTACCACAAGCCCGGCGAGATTTATTATTAACTATTTTATTGTTTCATGATAATAATACTTTAATAATTTCACCCAAGAGTAATCCGTACTGACCTGATACGTGTAGATTTTTCGAATGAGTCATTATCCCACTCGATGAAACACCGTACGATGAACGCGGCTATTCGCCATACTTAATTGCTTCGAAGATCACTTGGTGCGTACGTTTCGTCGTATCATACAACTACTCAATTGCAATTATTGATAATTGTCGTCAGGTCAACAATTTATAGCAAGTTTTCAGGGTTATCTCAACGTATTTTCATACAACCTGAGATAAACTAACTACGACTGTAAACTTTTGAGAAAGGAGAGCTATGATTATCCGTTCGCAAATCGGAATACGTTACTTTCAAAGAATCATGTTCCAAAATCCGTTACAACTGAAACTAATTATCGACTGTATCATCGAGCAAAGTCTAAGAAAACTGCGCAATAATTTAAACAATAGCCAATCGTTACTCAAAGCTCCTTTGCAAGCGCTGCGTACTTATATATTTTGCTAGAGAGTAGAAACACCGGTCGCTGCGAATTTTATAATATAACGTTCAACAGTCTTGAGGATAAAACAGATTTGACTCATGGGGTAACGTAGCGGCCGGCTTTAGAGTCGCCCGCTAGTCGTCTGGCAACTCGCTGTTACTACTTACTCATGACATCGTCGAATTATAACCTGCCAATGTATTGTAGTGAACATTTTTAACATTAAATGTATTAAATTTTCACATGTTGTAAACATTGACATTCAAAAATGACAACCTTGTTAAAAGTACTCAATGGATTTAATCCATTAAAGAGTTTTTTAACACCAAAGTGAGTGTTCCATTTTGTGACATTTAATGTTATTCGAAGATACTTAGAAAATATTATAAACAATTATAATTAATTGTCTTTTTGTCTTTTAGACCAGACTTCCTTGAAATAACATGTCGTTCAAAACATCGAATACTGCCTAAACCAAAGAAAAGGTTTCCTCCCTGGCTTATTAAAAGCACAAGAAGCACAGTAAGAATTTTTTAATTTTTATTATGTCATCATGTCAATGAACTTGAAGCGAACATAAAATAAATTTGTTGCTTAGAACTATACAATAATGTTTAAATATTTTTTTAGCGTTATGAAGATGAATTGACTTCAGAAAATAAAACTTTTCTCAAACAATTGGTCCAAGAAAAGTATCCTCGACCAGAGAGTGGTTACGGATCTTACTCTCCTCTCAATTTAAATATTGTTGAATCAGCTGTCGAATGGAGTCCTAGTTACCAAAGAGCTGGTTTAATAGCCAGAAAAATTGGTGTTTACCCAATGTGGATGAAGGATGGAAGAAAGGTTCTTACCACATTGTTTCAAGTATGTACAAATTGATTGTTTTATTTATTAAACAAAATAATGACTAAAATTAATTTCAATAGGTGGCTGATAATCATGTAATTAAGTATCAACCTCCAGAAACATACAAACCTATGATAACAAAAAGAAAAACTTCACTTCCACCTTCAAAAGGAAGTCTTATAATAGGAGCAGACAGTGTAGATCCACAATTGGTATGTAACAATAATTTATTACAAAGGATCAAATATTTAAATTCATCTAAAATTATGTTTTTTATCCCAAGTTCACAAAAGAATATTGCGGTCTTTTTGAAGAATCTGGAGTCATGCCCAAAAGATTATTAGCTAGATTTCATGTTTCCCCTGAAGCTGCATTACAACCTGGTACACCATTATTAGCCTCTCATTTTAAAGTTGGACAGTATGTAGACATAAGGGGTAAAACGTTAGTAATTCAATAATTTTTTATTTTATATTGCTTTATTTTAAAATATAAATTTAATTAATCATTGGTTTAACAGCATAAATAGAGGATTTCAAGGAGTAATGAAAAGGTGGGGTTTTCATGGTATGCCTGCTAGTCATGGTGTTACCAAAACACACAGAAGACCAGGAAATATTGGATCTGGTGGTAAAAAAGCTCGTGTTATGCCAGGTACAAAAATGCCTGGTCACATGGGTAATAGATATCGAGTGTTGAAAGCTCAAAGAGTGAGTTCTTATTTTAAATCAGTTATAATCATATTACAAACGATTAAAATAAACTTAATTATTGTTATAGATTGTCAGAATTAATACAAAATATAATGTTTTATGGGTTCTTGGAAGTGCTTCACCAGGAGAGTGCAATTCATGTGTGCAAATATTTGATACAGTTTTACCTCTGAAAAATTGTAAATACCTTAAACAAACTCCGTACTTTCCAACATATTACCCAGGTAGAGATGAAGAGCTACCAGAAGAATTAATGGTTGATGATCTTCACAATTTCAATGACCCAACTATTATGTTTACAGAAGATGAAGAATAATTATAAGTAGTATTATAAGAGATCAAAAATAAAACTTTGTTACACAATTAAGATTCTTATTTATTTAACTACATAACTATATTATTTATAATGAGGGAAAAGGGTTGATTGAGTAAAAGTTCAGGTTATTTAGTTTGTCAATGTATTTGAAGAAAAAATATACATTGCTAATTTCAGATAGAAATAAGAAACTTGATCGTTACAGCCACTGTCTCTAATGTAAGCTACATTACTATTCATGCTGTTTTCTTTTTCCTAACATAATGCTTTTAATTATCGATTACTCTAACGAAGTTTAATTACATAATTTTTTGAAAATTCGTGACTGCAATTTATTTAACATGCCTAATATATACATAGAGGTAATTAAAATTGTGACACAAACGAAAGCTTAATGTAGTCTATACAAGTGCTGCAGCATTAAAAAATCTCCTGCTCAAACTTTGCACGATTTAAGCAAGAAATGAATTATATCAACATTATTTTAAACAATTCACATGAGAAGACGTGTCGGTCGTTTATCAAATGCTTTAGAATCAAAAGCAACATTATTTCTTCATTTCTATCAAATGGAAAAATTTTGATAACTACACATTTCACTTCATAAATAAATATTCAATTTCCTATTAAAAAATATTAAAAAATAATAATCACTTGACGTTAGTGAGCTTTTATGACTGAACCAGCATCTTGATTAGACTTGTTTCACGATGTAAACGTTACAAATAGTAAATCAATTATTGTAAAAATTATAACGAACGAAAAAAACAGTCGATTCGAGAAGTCGTTGACTTTTTCTCCGGTCATTTCGTTCTCATAGATCGTCAAAAGTCGAATGGCCTTTTCTTGTAATTAATTCTTCTATTCCTAGTTATAATGCCTATAAAGGCAATCGGCATTCAATTCGCTGCAGTAGTTTTGCATAATCTTTCATCTTTGGGCCCTTTTGTTCTCATTAGAATTTTTTAAATAATGGCGCATAAAAACGTGTTAGCCGCACTTTGACAGATGTAATATGGAATTGTGAAAAAAGGATAAAGGCAAGGAAAAGCCGAGCGGCTCTAGACTCAAGTTATTCGAGGGGGGACGGCACAATCGGGGAGCGGAAACAGAGAAAAGAACCTCTCAGAATTTGAACCCTTCATTTGGGATGGCCGCGGAAGGGTCAAATTCAAACGTTTCTTCGTTGATTGGCTGACCAAGATTGACATCATCCGTCTGAAAATAAAATTGAATCAAGTATTACAGAAAATCTAATTTTTACGAGCTTTGAAATGAAATATGATTAACTTACTTCCGAGAAATATTGCTCAATGATGTCATAAGCAAGTTTATAGATTTCCCCATTCATGTGACCTTGTAACGCTTCAATTTTGTCTAACCCACCGCACTCTTCAATCATACCAGCCAACATTTCAACATTTGGTCCAGCCATTTTTAGCATATTATGAATACCATCAAGAACAACTTGTACGACTTGATTATCTTTACATGATAACAACTCACAGAAAGGAGCTACAACACCTTCTTTGATCAATTCCATTACTTGTTCTTTATTACCACTTATCGTTAAATTACTGATCGCCCAAGCAGCTTCTTTCTGAGTTTGGAATTCACCCTAAGTATAACAAAAAATTTGACTATCAGTTACAGCAAGATGCAAAATTATAATAAATTGATTAATTCAACTTACTTTCGAGAGATTTCGGATAATTAGTGGTACTAACTTAGCATCTATAACAGCTTGTACTTGTGATTGATTACCAGCTGTGATATTTGATAAGAACCATACTGCTTCCTTGCAAATTTTTTCCTTGGGATGAGTAAGTAATGATGGGAAGTGAGATAACGCATCACTGTTTAGAACAATCTGCGTTTGCTCATCTGTGCCTGTGACAATATTTCCTACAGCTCTTAGAGCAGCTGTTTGAACTTTAACTTCTTTGTGTGATAGAAGCGGAATAAGTCGTGGGACAACCCCGCTATCAATGACCATTTGAATTTGCTCATTACCTCCATCTGTTAAATAACTCAGAGCCCAAACAGTATCAACAAGAATCTATAAAAATAATTCATAAATCAATATACATTTTCCTGAATCAATAAATGTGAAGAAAAAATTATAGAAGTTTGTGTCTTACATTAATATCCATGTGATGAATTAAAACATTCAAAGCAGGTAAAATCTCTTTGATTGTTAGAATAGGTGGAGGGACGTCTTTGTTTCTACATAAATTAACAATGACCCACGTTACATTACGTAGGAATGTGAGTGGGATATCTGGCTTGATAAATTGTAAAAGTGGGCCAACAACACCTAGTTGAATAACATAATCTCTCAATGCTGGACCATCACCAATAATATTACCTATAAAAAAAATCAACATTTAGATATTTTGTTGAAAAATACATTTATTTTTATTTTGTATCATAGTAATGATGAGATTCTAACCTAGAGCCCAAACAGCTTGTTCACAAACATTTTGTTGACTGGAAAGCAATAATTGAAGAAATAGTGGAACTGCTCCTGCATTTACAACTGCATTTGTTTGGGCTGATGTTCCACTGGCAATATTTGTTAGTGCCCATGCAGCCTCAAATTGTAGAGAGGGACTAAAAATATAAAAATTAATATATATGATTTAAAAATAAGTTTAAAAATAAAGTATTAGATGATATTAAAATGTGTAACTTACTTATCATGTTTTTCCAAACACCTAACTAAAATAGGCAAAATACCACTATCGATTAGAGGATCTATAGGTGGATTGCGATCCGATGAGAGTAATTTTCTAGCTGCTTGAACAGCTTGTAACTGTTCAGCAGGGTCTGCGCTATCAGCTTTCAAAACCAGCTCTTCCAAGTTAGTTTTTGCCAACTGCTTATCAATATCTTCCTCATCTATCAAAATATTGAAAAAGCAATAAAATCGTAATTAGTAAATATTATGATGAATTGATCAGTAAGTGTAAATAATCCTTTACCAGTTGAATCCAAAATAGGAACATTTCTTTTCTTTTGAAGAGTTTCCTCTCTTTTATTTTTTCTGAGCTCCACTGTAACTTCATTTCTCCGTCTTCTCATTTCCTGTTGAAAATCATTAATTGGATTACAACAATCAATTATTAGAAAAAAAAAAATAATAATAATAAACAGATAAATCATAAAATTAATAAATAAACAAGTAAATATTAGATATGTGCAAAATATTTTTTGAAATCCAATATATAGTTTAATTGATCTTTCCCCTAAAATCATAATTCAATTGTTATTTTCAGGATCTTGTGCTATAGAGCATTTAATGAAACTTAAAAAGTATATTTTAAGATAATTGATCATGCACTAGTTCTTCTCTAGTGATACTGTGAAATTTAATTGATCAACAAAATTTTGAGTGTAAATTTTTGCACACATAAAATTTTGATACATATTTAAATAAATTCAAATTCTTAAATAATGTTAATTATATAATTGAAATTCTTACTCATGTTTGAAGTCTCATTGTTTATGTTAGAATTAGCTAATCAAGCTAATCTTTCTCATAAGACTGTACGTCTGATTAACTCCTTGGGTGTGGGAGCAAAGTTAGCTATGTCGGCTGAAAAATGAGTATAAAACAATAGCGTTTCAATGGATTTTCTTTAAACTTGCACATCATCAACTTTTGCATATCCACAAATTCTTTGCAAGCTCACTTCTGCTCATCATGACGCACCGTCCGCACGCCATCCACACTCAAGGAGTTAATCCACCATCACTCATATCATCGAACCAGAACAAAAAAAAGTTAAGATTCAAGCCACATGATAAGTTATCATCAAAACCAGATGCATTCATTAAAGACATCTTTACTCAACTCATTTTTCTACAACCTTTAAAAATTACTTCACCAATCTTAATGTTTCAATAACTAAAGAAAAATTATGTATACATATAATAAACACATGTTATTCAAAAGAAAAAGATGTGTAAAAATTCATGTAATTATCATGTAAGCATCATTCTCAAATGATTCATGGTTTTCAAGCACCAACTCAATATCATAATTCATCCTCAAATTCCAACCAGCAATCATCATAGCTCACAATATCACCCAACATCTATTATACATGATGATAATAAAATAATCATCACAATTATTCTCAGTGATGTTTATTTAATCCAAAAATTGTGAATAATTCGGGCCTGTATGACTATGTGTGCTCACTTATACATATCTTTTACACACATATTTAATATATACATGTTTATAAAGGTGTGTTATATACAATTTGTGTGAGGCTATCAGATACACAGACACATCGATGTATCCGGTTTTGCACACGCGCGCTAGCAAATGCGAAAGACAGACAGAGCAAGAAAGAGCGAGAACGTAAAAGAGAGAGAAAGAGAGAGAAAATCTCTGAAACCCAGCAAACAATTCGATATAACAATTTATTGAGCAAGCCAAGAGGAATGCGTCAGTTTCTTCAAGCAATAGAGGCGAGCTCGTGAAAATGAATTTTTTCACTTCGATTAGTTGCGCATATATCGAGCGCCCAAGGCCACGAGAGTCGGCGATGTGTGTATATATATGTAAAATTCAAAGGAAATGTATGAACTTCCACCTGCTCAGTCTGTCTCTCTTCCTCTTTCGCTTTTTCACCTTTCTACATCATAAGGACATGCAAAACTGCTCTTTTACACTCGTGTAATGTAATAAACGTGTCTCTAGGGCATAGGAAATGATTGCAAACATGAATGTGTACTTGTGAGAGTCACTGATACATTTACTCGAAATTATCAACATACATCACGAATCCAGAACAGTTGGATATTCATCGCATTCATCATTGCAGACATTTTTGCACACGCATACATTCGTGCGAGCGCGAGGGGACCTATCTACTTTTATAATATCCTACAAAGTCTCTCAGTCAAAATGTAGCAAATTCATAGATTCTTTTACACACGAGCAACATGCCGCATTGTGTGCGCGAAGCGAATCGCCATTTCTTTCCTTCGTATTGCCTCGTAATTCCGAAGAGTGAAGCGCGCGTCGCCCTATAACGGCCGATAATAATAATCATGCCAGCGAAGAATAACTCGGTGAAACATAAGCTGCCCTGCAAAGGGTAGCTTCTACTACACAATGGACGATTTAATTATAGGAGCACGGAGGCAAGACGACGGCGAAATTGGTCGCGTCGCGCGGCTCATTTCCCAACTTGACATGTAAAAAGGTATATCTATAAGTAAATTTGGCGCACGACACATGGCACTACTGGTATTCATACACATATGCGTCGCAAAACAGATAGGCTTAAGATGGACGATTAAGGCAATGAATGTCTCTGAATGAGCAACTTACATCTTGGTCCTTGCCCTTGTTCTTGAAGACCATCATCCGATTCTTGTTGATCATGTCGGACGCCATCCTTCCTGTGTTATCCAGCTTGGCTGCTTTTTATTTATTACAAGTGACGGAACAAAAGTCGAATCGATTTTCGCTCCGAAGATCCGTGTTGTATTCTCCTTTCGACAGTCTTCTCTTGCGCTGATGTGCGACCGTGCGTTACGTACGCGTGCGTGCGTGAACTGACTCTCTTCGACTCCGACTGTAATATATTACAGGCTTCAGTGTATGTGCGCGCCTGTATACTCTGCGGGCGCGACAGTTGCGAATTGGACCGTTTATAAAATTTCTGATCGTGTTGCCAAACGAACGACAATTGCTGCCTGTCGCGCTGCCCCGTCGTCGCTCGCTATAATATTTTGCGGGTTCCCAGTGGCTTTCGCACTCGAGCCGTGTGCTAGTACAGAAAAAGAGAGATGAGCGCACACAACGTGTATGACGCCCCTTACGGCATTCCACTTCAAAGTCCCCGAGAGCTGCTCTGGCTTCGACTTTCGAGATAGACAGAGAGAGATAATGAGAGGGACTATATATATCTTCGACCAACCTTCCTGAGTATAAGTATGTTTTGTAGTAACTGACTCGACGATCAGCTATTTCGATGTGCTGCCGCGAAATCAGCCAAGTTCCGTCGCAGAAACCTACGTTTTATTGAAGACTTTGCCTTGGCTTGCCAGTAGCGACACCCGCGAAAATTCACCGCGGCACAGTTTTGATAGCGTCTGTCGTCTGACCGCCAACTAAAAAACGCCAACGATCGCGATATTTTTGCATTGACTTATCAAGAATCGCGTCGAGCCAGATGATAAGACCAATTCGTTCTTTACATTTGCAGCGCGAGAAACGTGTCGATATGAGAGCGGGCAGAATTATAATCTAACAAAAATTATAGCATTTCAAAACGAAGATTAAGGTCAGCACCATCTACAGACCACAATAACGAAGTAATATGTTATTCGAGGTTATGACGGCCGACACTCAGCACTCGGCAGTCGGCAGCTGCTTCACAACTTTTGATGGCGTCGTTATTTAAAGCTATCATTATAACTACAATATGCATTTTTAAAAGAACTCAATTTTCGTGTATTGAAAACACGTCGACCAATGAGCATTCCAGTGAGTCTCGATTGCATCACATGAGATTTTTGTATCAATGACTATTACTTTAGGTGTACGAATAAATTTAATTCAAGGAGTACACTGATTTTTTTCGTCTTATAAAATAGAAAAAAATATCAACGAAATAGTCGATGAATCGGCTTGTGCAAATTGACACTCTGCTGTATTGCGATGCCAATTACTTAGAACTCTAATTTTTGTAGAACACAGTTTCAATGACTAACATTATTTATCAGAATTATAATCAAATTTTTAACTATGACGAAGATGAAGCAACCAATGAATCTTTGAAAATAATACCGATCGTTCCGATCGAAGAAAAGTTTGATAAAATCTAGTATTTTTAAAAATAGCTTTTTTTTCGTCCCTCTTTAATTCACGTTTATTTATTTTTTTCTTTTTCATTCCAATGAAAATGAACGGCATAGAACATGAGAAGTGGCAGCTAGCGATCGAAAGACGCTTGCAAAGAGAAGGAGAATTATCGAAGATTTCATTATCGTTAGCGATTTGCATTTAAACTGCAGAATTTGGAGTTGGAATACGATTTATCATGACTTGACGCATTATCGTGGCATTGAAAGTCTGTCAATAAAACAATTATTCGTTATATGAATATTATCAATAGAATGTTATTAACATTTATATTAAATAATTACGATTACGAAAAGTTTCGATTAATTTTTCTGATACATTTTTCATTTTCAGTAACGCAACACAATTGAAAATGGCCTTAAAAGGCATTAAAATTTTAGAGTTAGCAGGTTTGGCTCCAGCTCCATTTTGCGGAATGCTTCTTGCGGATTTTGGAGCTTCTGTAATAAGAATCGATAAAGTAAAGTAAATTTTTTTCTAAGCTATTAAATGCTCAATTATTATGCATTGTTAAAATTGATATGCTTTTTAGATAGGAGCCCCACACTTGGATTCTTTAGGAAATGGAAAAAGATCAATTGCCTTGAATCTCAAGACAAAAAAAGGTATTGATATTTTCAAAAGACTCTGTAAAAGCTGTGATGTTATTATTGATCCTTACAGAAAAGGTAATTTTTCATCTTTGGTAGATAAATTTCATTCTTTTCATATATCTAAATGACTTTCATTAGGTGTCATGGAAAAACTAAATCTAGGACCAGCAGACCTCATGAGTCAGAATAAAAAATTAATTTATGCAAGATTAACTGGATTTGGTCAAGATGGTCCTTACGCTGAAATGGCTGGTCATGACATAAATTATGTTGGATTATCAGGTAAAAATATTAAAAAATTTTTACATTTGAAAGTAATTTCACAGTTTCATTATCTCTCAGGGTTACTATCTATATTTGGTCGTCAACATGAAAAACCTACACCACCTGTAAACTTGGCAGCTGACTTTGGTGGTGGTGGTTTAATGTGTGCTTTTGGAATTGTTATGGCTTTACATGAGCGAAACCAGAGTAAGAAAGGGCAAATAATAGATACTTCAATGGTAGAGGGTACTGCTTATTTAGGAAGTTGGTTTTATAGATCAATAAGTATTCCTGGATTGTGGGGACAGCCTAGAGGAAAAAATGTGTACGTTTGATATTCAATTGAGCTATTTATTAATATTAAATAATAAATGAATATTAAATAATAAATATTTCCAGACTTGACACAGGAACTCATTTTTATGATACATATGAAACTAAAGATGGTTTATTTATGGCTGTAGGAGCTTTAGAGCCTCAGTTTTATGCAGAATTGTTGAGTAAACTTGACTTGACTGAAGATGAACTACCACAATATGATGATTATGAAGAAAATCGCAGGAAATTAACAAATATATTCAAAAGCAAAACTCAAGCACAATGGTGTGAAATATTTGATGGTACTGATGCATGTGTTACACCCGTTCTTACGTTCGAAAATGTTGCATCCCATGTACATAATGTATCACAGAACAGTTTTTCTATGGGCAAAGATAATATAATTGTACCAAATCCATCACCAAGATTATCTCGTACTCCAGGAGAATCTTGTGCCACAAAAAATGGAAATATCAGACCTGGTGATCACACTTTGAATGTATTAAGAGAATACAAATATTCTCCTAGTGAAATTGAAGATTTTATCAAGAATGGTATAGTTGAACAATCTGAACCAGCATCAAAATTATAAATTCAAATTTGTATAAATTGCTATCTTTTTATGTCGAAGTTGACATTGATATAATTTTGATATATGGTTGATTAGTAATTAATGGTTTTTTGAATAATTTTAATCAAAGTTTTTATGTTTGAAAACAATATTTTTATTCATTATCTTAACTATATACATAAAAAAAAGTGTCTTAACAAGTTCATTCTTTATAAATAAAAACTTAATCCATTAAGGCTGGCAAAGGGACCTCTGTTATTACAATATTTTTTTCCCATAAGTCTCTTACAAGTTGAACTTTTTTAACAATATCTTTAATAGGCAGATGATCTACCTTAATAAATTGTGGATACACTGTTATAAGTTTTTTAATCGCAGGAACAAATTCTTCGTCTACTTCTACAAATTGTATATCATATTCATGATACTCTTTAGAATTTTCAGAAGAATAATATAATTTATGCACTCCTTCTTCATGGACTAATCTAGCGCAATGATGTCTTATTAATCTTACCATGTTATCAGGCTCTATTTCCACTCTATTGACAACTTCACCATTTTCAATCATCTTTTCTCCTCCTTCTTGAACTGTGCAAATAGCTTCACTTTCATCTAGCATTGGTGGCAAGAAATCATGAATGTGATTTTTGGCCATCTGATCAGCAGCCTCATGAACATTTAAATATTTATCAAAGACAGTTTGAACCAAAGATTTAGTTTTATCTACAAATTCTTTCAACATATTATCGTTTTTTTTATTTTTATAAACTTCTCCGACATGCTTTAAATAGTGTAATGGTAAACCTTGCCTAAACTTTGGTTCATTTTCAATGGCATTTTTCAATGCATTTGGGAGCAATTTTTCCAAAAAGTCTGCCCAGCTATTATTTTGATAAACACTTAATGTAATATGCAAACTATGTTCATCAGATCCAAAAGTATCTCCTTGATGTATGGTACCTCTTGGAAGGTACAATAGATCACCAGCATGAATGACATCATCGAAAATTGGTTCCCCTAATTCTTCTTGTGAAAAATTTGGAGAAGAGTATCTAGGATGCAACTCTTTTTTATTTCTTGATTTATATAATCTCCATCTCTTTTTACCTTCAATTTGTAAAATAAAAGCCTCAATGTCATCATAATGGGGAGCAAACCCTTGACTATTGGGAGGAGTTAAATAGGAATTGGCTCCAACAAAACATCCAAAATACTCTTGTAATGCAGAATTGATTTTATGCACTATAGGAATAAAGGTTTGAGGATTCAACATGCGTACTGAACAACCATTGAGATAATAGTCCCACACAACACTTGGTAAGGCTCTTCCAGGTGGGTTATGAGTTTCTCTGATACCATCAGAGTAAGATGTTATATCTAAATTTTTGGAATACATGATATAATTGTCCCTTAGAAGTTGATCCAACAATGGGGTTGACATCATTGGAGAAAAATATTTTGGTTTATTTCGTCTCACATGAAGAGGCTTTTGCTCCCAAATATCTTTCATAAACGTATCTGGTTTAATGGGATACACCAACCAGTTAAAGGCTTCCTCACTAGCTTCGATTGGATTAACATGATCTTCAAAGTATTCTTCATCACTTTCAATTGACATTGATTCACTGCCATGTTCTGGGAAATATACAAGCTCTGGTACATCTGAACAATCACTTTCATTACCGTTACTTGTTGTAGTCTTACCTGCAGGAAGTTCAGTTAGATTTTTGTTATTGACCTCTTGCTTTTTGGTATTTTTCTTCTTTTTAACAACTTTTTTCGGCTGGATAGTTAAATTTTTAGTATTTTTCACTGTTTTTTTCGTGATAGCATTACTGCATTTTGACTGCTCGCGTGCACCGTTTTGTTGTTGGAAGGGCACTTTTTTATTGGTTTCACTTGAATTATTTTGTAACTGACCATGGTTATCAGATTTATTTTTAGCATTTTGTTGTGGAGAAATTTTCGTATTGACTATCACAAAACCTTTATTTTCTTTTGGAGATTTATTTTTGGCTTTGCTCACACCATTTTGTTGTTTTTTTTTCAATTTCAATTTTTTGGATTTACTAGTTTGCGATATTGGTTGAGTCTTTTTTGTAGCATTTTGAAGTCTTGCTACTTCGTAAGCTGATAACATTTCCATGATGAAAAATTTCTTAGTCTTAAAGGATTTCTTTTGAAATGATGACTTGCCGGCTAAATTACACCGACCACGTGCAAGTTTTGCTGTACAGCAAACTGTTAAACCAATGCGGCTTGATTCACTAAAAACTTACAGTCAAATAGTCTTTAGCTTTTGCGAGCAAAATTAAACCTTGAAAATTTTATTAATATACCTTATAAATGGATTAAACTAAACAAATGATTGCTTTACTGAAGCGGTAACACGTGCTTCTGTTACAAGCACGAGAACGACTATGTGTTGTTAGTTGTGACTTGTGAGTTGAATGAGCTGACGACTTGTTGCGCGCGCATCGTAACGCCTAAAACGTAGGAAAATACTTAAAATTTTATAATTTCGCTCACTCTAAATATTTTTAAGATTATAACATTTCAACGTTTTATTGATTGGAATTGGATTGTTTTATCTTTTATTTAAAATGAATTTATTTTGATAATTTATAGAATTTTAAGTGATTTATTAAAATCGAATGAATTTCGTCATAAGTTCCCGCACATAGCAGATCTTTTTATCTCATTCACTTAGGTTGTTTACATGGTAGTGCATGTCGCATACCGCGGCATACTGTGTATAATCCAAACACCAGAAGAACTAGAATAATTATTTTGTTTATTTTTTGAAAAAAAAATCATACATCAATCTGCTTTGTTAAGAACGAAAAATATAATGGATGTACAAGCATCAAAAGAAGAGTACTTATTGAAGAAAGCTAATGATGCTTTGGCTGTTGATATTCATTCAGCTAAATCATGGTTAATTTCTGCCAAATCCCTATTCCCACACAGTATAAAAGTTCAGGTGAATCATTTATTAATTATAAATAAAATTCATATTAAGAAATATGCTGTTACTAGCAGATCTTTTTAATCTATTACAGTTTGAAGCTTATCGTTTTGAAAAACTATCAAAAAATACTCAAGGAGCAGCAGAATGTTTTACTGAAATGTAAGCTAATAATATAATTTTTTGTTTCATAAAATATTAATTTGCATGACAGTTTTCAGAGTTTTCCAGATAATATTGAAATATGGAAGGAAACAGAAAAAATAACAAAATCATTAAGGTCTGAGAAAATCGAAGATGAATCAGAATTCTTATGTGAAATGTTTCAGTTTATACCTCAAGAACTTCAACATCGTTTACTATTACTAACTGCTGAACGTAGTGAAGAAACTATTGAACATTGCAAATTGTTATTGCTATTGTTTAAAAGATTTCCTCAAACCATTTCTTCATATGGGGTAAAAAAACATTCATCAATCTAAAAAATTTTTATATTCGAGTAAATTCCTAATTCATTTTTACCTTTTATAGCATCAATTAGTAGAAACACTAACAACAGCTGAAAAACATAATCATGAAATGCATGGTGTACCAGTAAATGAAATTAGAAAACTATTAACTTGTGAAGTACTTCCACTGCTAAGTAATGCACAAATTGAACTACCTGCAAAAACAAGTCAACGACTATTGACCAAAGCTGTAGAATTTTATTTGGCTTATCTACAACAACCTCAGGATACTCAAATAGATAATCCCTGGGACAAATTGTTCCAAGTATTAGAATTGATGGGAAATAAATTAGGGTGGGAATTAAGCAAATTATTTGCTGTTCCATGGAATCGACTCATGTACTGTGACCATTTGCATCAATATGCTAATGCAAATGCATCTAATTTGAATGATGAACATTCAAATAAACAATTGATACTTTGCTGCATGGTGGTTTTTATCAGAACTCTTCAAGAACATTCATCTTCTTTTGGATCTCAGAATTATGTGCTTGTTGAAGCTTTTGCAGAAGAACCACTTTCGAGTAAGAAAATATTTTCTTTAAATAAATTGATTAAGCATATACATGACATAAACTATTTATAATTTCATTCATTGTCTTTATTTAATTTTATAGTTCCGTCAGAGCCAAAAATCAAGAAACGTAAAAAAGAAGAACAGCATAATATTGTCATTACTTGTGATGGAGAATATGATGGGGATGCTTTAATTTTAGCTGTAAAATTATATGATCTTATGAATGCAAGTGAAGTATCTCAAAAAGAGTTTGTTAGGCTTATAGCACAACTACGATTGAATGCGGTCTTGACATCATTTGTAAATGATGTGTCATTGTATAAAAATTTGCATCGGGATCTTTTACTAAGGCTGCCTCAAGAAGCAAACAATATAAGTGTTCACTTACGGATGGCAAGCTCGTGTTTTGTTGTAAAAGATTATAAGGTGATTACAAAATTTATAAACAATTTTTCACTCTACTGAATCATTTATTTTGTATCATTTTTGTGTTTCAGGCAATGTTAGAGTATATAAAACCTGTAGTTGATGCATTACCAAGTGTAGAAGGTAAATTATCTTCTAAACTAACTGTCATTGGGTCCAGACATTTACATTACTTGTCTTTAACAAAAATTCCTATACTTCAGTATTGCTGTAAACTTCTTTTATTCGCAATTAAAGTAAGTATAAAACTGTTTAGAATCTATGCAATCAAGTAAAAAATAGTACTAATATAACATGTTGGTTAACAGGAAAGTTTATCCTGGCCTGGAAGAAATCATGATTGGGCTATAGGTCATGCATTTGTTTTGATGCAAATGGACTGGCCCCAAGAAGCACCATTATTTCATTATTTCACAAAAGAGATTTTAAATCAAAGGTCATTTCATTATCCAGCTTTTCAGGCTTATCTTATCAATGTAGATATTTTGGAAGAACTTACATATTTATGGACAGAGCATGGAGGAAATGTACATTTAAATATTAGTGGATCTACTGAAAGCGTACCAAGTAGGTTTATAACTTAAAATTTTGTTGTAACTTGTTTTTTGATTTGGTATATTTTGAGCAACGAGTCTGAATATGTTTTTTTGGAAAATTTCGTTGCTGCACTTGTCATGCGAGTTTGGTGTTTTGACGAAAAGCATATTATCACGGCAAAGTTGTTTTTTTAAGCTATAATCTAATAAATATTATTATTAACATTTTTAGACCGCAGAATTGGTACACGAGGAGCAGATAAAGGTGTGCGCAATGAAATAAAAGAAATAATGCGAAAACAGGTTGCGAGAGATGAATTGGAACCGATTGACGAAGTACTGAAAAGATTTATTATCAATGAAAAAACAACCTTGCAGCATATGCTAAAATTAAGATGATAAAGGTTCATCAAACATACATTTTGTAAAATAAAATCATTTTCTAATAACAATAAACTGAAAATATTATTAATCTTTTATTCACTATTTATAAGCTTTAACATTTTCATAATTAAATTTGTACAAAATTATGAATGAAAGTAACAGTAATTGTATTATAAAAGTTTCATGCTCCAAAATTGTATAAAATGCCTTATGTGATATATATTTATAGTAAGCTTTTATGTATCATAAAGATAACACTGATGAATAACAATGATACGTCACAAACAACCCAGTGTTCAATAATGAATAACTTTTCCTTCCTATTTTCAACAATATAAATATTTCTTTTGCCTAAACACCAAGTTTACCTATATTGTTGGTTCTTCACTTCAAAGTTTGGATATTTAAATTGTCGCACACCCCTTGATTTTATATTACAATCTATGATTTATAACACTAGTCGTACAAAATAGAATTGTTTTTTTCATTTTTATTTCATCTTTTTTTAAATTTTGTTTGAAACAAATAATTAAATTTGGAAACAAAAAGATCCTATAACCATAAAATAAAATTTGTATGATAATGTGTTATAATATATGCTTTTTAAAACAAAAATTTTAAAATAATATTAGTCATTAAGAGTTCAAATCAAGATAAAATTTTCTTTGCAACGTTCGGTTTACAATTAAAAAAAATAAGACTTGGAAATAAAAGTAAATGTATAGAAATGCATTTCCTTCTATTTTATTGTGTAGATAAAATATAGTAATTATTATTTATAGCACAATATATTTATATATAAAGACGCACAGAACATAGAGCGCACTCTATAAAAATTAAAATCCACTGACACAGCTTTCTACATTTATGTATTTGCATGTCGTTATTAAATCAGTTTTTTCTTTGTAAATTTTATATTATATATTAATATTAATAAAGATTGCAATCAGTACTTTCAACGATAAATAAACGATATGTACAAAATATATTTTTTTTATGAGGTGAATTAATCTTCGTTTGAAGTTCAAACATCTCACATAAAAATCGATGCGCTTGATTTATCTGAGATAAACGTTAAGTTGAAGAGCAGTTTGAAGTAATACTTTAATTCCAGGCATGAACGAAGCAATCTGACTAAAATCTGGACCGGACACCAACTGAGTATGTATGCTCAGACCCCCTTGATAGTCTCCAGCTTGTACCGTATCACATATTTGATGAAGGCCTTGTAAAGTGCTCGGCGAGATCTGAATCATGGTTTTATATTAGTTACAATTTCGAAAACGATAGCTGCATGAAAATTAAAAAAAAACTCACTTTCTGCTCACGAAGATAATCATAAAAAACTTCTAATTTCCTCGAAACGTCCTCGATCTTTTTCTTCAGTTGCTGCAAAAAATATTCAAATTTAGTCAGAATAGTTCTAAAAAGATTATTAGTAATAAGTAAGTTTGTAGAATAAAGCCTTACAGGATTTCGAGCAACTTCAAAGCATCTATCTTTCAATTCATTAAAGGTACTTTGTAACTTTTTATGCTCTTCTGGAATGGGTGCTTTCGGTTTTTCGGGCTCAGGTACTCTAACTATTTGAGCCGGCTGAATTGGTGGTTCAGCGGCTCTATTGTAAGATTGCATTCCTGGGGCAGAATTGAACTGATTGTACGTGCCTTGAGGTCCCATCTGTTGATGTTGTTGGTAATTTGGATCAGGCTGGTAAACCTACAACATTAAACATTATAAGATATTACGTGAATTAGAATTTTTCGACATCACTTTATAACTGATAAAAATTATCAGCGTGCTTAAAGTTAAACTCCGAAGAACTTAAAAGCCAGTGTGAAAAAATCAACATTTTTATTTTCATTTGAATGAATTTTCATTTTTTCACTAGCGAAAATTATTCTAGAGATTTCAAAAACATTTCAAAGAAATTTTCGTTCATGCCATTGCTTCTGAGTCTTGTAAATTTGAATAACAAAAATACTAACCGTAGGTTCTGTCATATGAGTAGCACCTCCTAGAGGGTGCATTATTGGATTTTGCTGCTGGAATTCTGTTTTTGGCTGCATGGGATAAAAAAATCATTCATGTTAATATATTTATCTAAAAATGCTATGCATTCATTGATGATTAGCAGTATTCAGTAATGCAATATTATTTGTGAATCGAAGAACACAAAACTGACATATTAGCATTAATAAGAAGGTAGCTGTTCTACATGAATCACAAATATTTATTTCAAATGTAAAATGATTCATATATCTTTCTGTCCAAGCAATACTACTCTAATTGATGAGGGTATTCAGACATGTTCCATACAACTTTAAAGTACAAAGTAAATGATTCTAATATTAAAACTCAACTCATTGATGCATGATTGTCTATAATGATGTTTAGCATCAAATAATCACACAAAATAATTTTATTTTAGCAATACATAAGCATATGCGGGTGCTACTGCAAAAAACGAAATTACATCTCATTTATCAATAAAAATCACGGCAAATGCATTTTTTTACACATGGCAGGAGGATAATCACTCGGGTCAGTGTGAATCGTGATTATTTGTTTCGGTCGTTATCTACCTTCGCATCAACGCCCTTTGTGTGCTTCGCTTTCCATCTTCTGCTGCCGGCATGCTCGGCGCACATTTCGTTTTTGACGACTAAAGCCATTACTGGCTGTGTACAACCGATTATAGAAACACAACGATAGTATAGAATTTCAACGATTCAACTATTTTTTTTATTATAGGCTAAGAATATCAGAAGTATCTGATAAATAAAAATTGTTTTCAAAATGTTCAAATACTTGCAATTCTAATAATTAAGGTTGCATTTGAAAATATTAATTTTTTCCCTGGACTGTCATAAAAAATTAGATAGAAAATTGCGCATAGTTGCTACTTTTTCCAAAATTAAATCAGCCTTGCAAAAATATTTACCTGAGCTTTGTTTGATTTGCTGTAAATAGGTGGATCATTCCACCCAGAAGATTGATTACCAGACTGATACGATGGGGTATCGTTGGGATAAGTGTAAGTAGACGGAGCTAATGTCTGCGCAGCTACTGGAGTTGGTGTATACAGAGATGGTTGCTGTACTTGTTGGGGTGTTGCATTAGGTGCCGGATAGCTCGGCTGAGGTTGTTGCATTCCACCGTAACCATAGCCTCCGGTGGGGCCGAACCCACTGGCCGAGCCGTACCCACCGGGGCCATAAGTTGATCCAGATTTTACAGATGGGTCGACGACGTACTTGGATTTCGATTGCGGTCCGACGCTTCCTGGCCTCGAACCACTAGACTGGCTGAGATTCGTTGCAGACGTAGGTGGCGGAGGTGGTATGGCTGGAGTCAATGGAGCCTGGGGCGTGTAGGGATCTTGCATCATCGACGGAGGTGCTTGTGGTACCGATGGCACGAAAGGTGTGGCTGGTTGTGTCGACGGATAAGATTGATTGTTCGCTACTCCAGGGTAATTCATGGAAGAGTTGTTGAAGGATTGTTTCGTTGGAGCTGTGTTCCAGGAAGGCTGTTGCGGTGGCATGGAAGATGCATTACTTGGCGGCTGGATAGGATTAAACATGTTCGACTGAGCTGGAGGCTGAATAGGATTAAACATGTTTGATTGAGCTTGAGGCTGAATAGGATTGAACATGTTTGATTGAGCTTGAGGCATTCCAGGAATGGATTTACGCTGCAAAGGTTGATTTTGTGCATATCCAGTCTGTAATTGCAATTAATTAAGAGTTTATTTATTCGATAAAAGAAGAGATCAAAATTAATAAGCAAATTTCTTACAGTGTATTGGGCATTTCTGTTGGGACGCTGAGGTTCGATTTGCACAAGTCCAAGTGATTTGTGCAATCGATCTCTCAACATAACAATGCTGGGTTCTTGACTATTGCCTAAATAGTTTATTGCTGCTTCGAGATCGCCCTCAGCTGCAAGTAGTTCAGCATAACGCGTAAGTACCGATGCAATATTGCCTTCGATCTCAATTTTTTGCATCAAATGGAATTCGAGAGCCCTTTGCATGACAGTGACGATCTCCACTGTTTCTTGAAGATCCATTTTAGCGACTTCGATGGTTTTATTCAAGTTGCCCGAGCATATATAGCAGATCTGAGCGTCTTTTCGATGTTTTTCACTGTCACTTGCGGCAAGACGATCGGCCAAAATTTCTAAAACATAAGTGAGATTGAAAATATTCTGGGAATAGAAAAATTCATTCATTTATTTCAAGCTTACCAATCAATGCACTACGTCTTTGTGTATTAACATGTGTAAATATACCGATCAGTGCCTCCTTCCAGCAATCAATATCACAATTTTTCGCGACATCCTCCCAGTTTTCGCTAACCAATGAATTAATGAGAGAATTCAATGTTCCACTGTGTTCAGAAAAGTATCTTTTTCTTGTTTGTGCTAATAATTCTGCACCACCGGCCATCGACAAGACGATAGCGTCAGCATATTTTTTATTATCAAAACATAATGCCACAGCAGCTTCAATATTTCCTAATAAAATAGCTTGTGTGATAAGTCCTTCATTTCCTGTAACATACATTTGAGATTTGGATTTTAAACTAACTTGCACTCAAAAATCGTGACTACACGTAAATTACTTTACCATTTAATGTGTCTATCTTGAAATTAACATCTAATTTCTTATTTGTCAATGCAGAAGATACTGATTTATTCTGTTCCTTTTCTGCAATAGCGTCAAAAGCTGCACTTCCGTCCAAAGTATTGCCATTTATACCCTATGTAGAGTCAAAAATGTAGATATTTTTGTATTGAAGTAAAAAATATTTCAACTTACATTGTTTAAATTTTCAATGCCTTTCGTAACATTTTCTATTTCTGGGTGAGGCACAAATTGATTCAATTTATTATTCATACTTTCTAACTCAAATCCTAAAAGTTCCAAAAGTTCCTGCGAAACATTTTCACCGAAATAAGCACCAATACAATTCCACACTTTTCTGGTATGCTCATCTTTAGCATTATCTGCCTTTCCTTTACAAAAATCACTAAATTGACCAGTCTTGACAGCAGCCTCAAGTTCATTTGATCTTTGAATCAGATCTGGGTTTGTAATGACTTGAGATACATAAACTCTTCTGTTAGTATTTGCTGGCATATTTGGATCAACGGGTAAATTTTCAAAAGTTGTAAGTTTTCCACCAAACTGAAGAAAAAAAAATGTTTAGATAAAGCTAAATATTAGGATATTTGTATCCAATACTCACTCCAAATGAAGCACCAAATGGTTTTTTAAGCCACTTTGGAGCTTTTTTGAGAATAGAAGCTTCATCTGTGTGATGGACAGCTGATGGTGGTGGCTGAGTAAAAGGGTCCATTCCAGGGAAAGATTCTACAATTTTATTTGATGTCACTGCTGATTGTTGATTGTGTCCACCAAGAATTGAATAAACTGTAGCAACTCCATCAAAACTTGTACCAACTACTAAATCTGGATGTCGAGGACACCATAAAACATCAAAGTTCCATTGACTAGTTTGAGCTAATTCACAAACTACTTCTCCATTCTGAAATAATTAGCAATAAAATAATATTTTATAAATTACAGCTTTTAAACCAAGTTTTCATGACTTACAGGAGCATCTGAATTAGGATTCCAACAAAGTATTCTATTGTCTTTTGCACAGCTGAGTAGTAAATCTGAGTCTTGCTGATTCCAAGCAATAGCAAGAACACCACGTTGGTGGTTATGCAAAGTTTTAAGGGGTGATGTTGCAAATCGTAAATCCCATAATTCAATAATAGGACTTTGATCATCTTCAGAAGCTAAACATAATTGAGTTGCAACATCAGGATGCCATTGTACTGATTTCCACCTCACCTAAGAAAATGTCAACATTAACGATTATCTTATTTGTTTATTTTGATGCAGCTATACAATTGCAACCTACCCTTGAATTTGCATCATGCAATTTGATGATAGCTTCATTCTTTCTAAGGTCCCAAATTACACAACGTTGAGAAAATGTTGATGCAAGAATATGTTCAACTGTCAAAATAATTATAAATATTGATAAATTACACATGATAAAATGAAAATAATCATTATGATGCAATATAAATATTTTTTTTTAATTTACCTTGTTCATTCCATGCAATATGTTGAACATCTTCAGCAGGCATACTTTTGGGACCAGGGGACATTGGTGTATTTAAATTATTTAAATCCCAAATAAAAATTTCACTTTCAGTACTTCCGGTTGCTAATAAATTTGACTGAAATGGGTTCAAGTCCATGGCTTTAACAGATCCTTTATGTCTTTCAGGACTACTGAGTAAAGAATTGCTATCTTTGGCAAGCACTTTAGCAGCAGAATAAATTTTAATTTTGCCTTGATCGCATCCTCCCACAATGATACCAGCTGGATCATTTCCATAAGCACCCCATACGATTTTGTGGAATCTAAACATTGTCAATAAATATTCAATACCTAATGCAATTAAATGAAAATATTGTTTCTAATAGTTAAATGACAGACCTTTCATCACTTGGTACGCTAGCACTAAGTTGCATGTCATAGCCAGGCTGTTGTAAATTGAGGGAATAAAGATCCAGACTGGCACTGGTGCTGAAACTGGCATCCAATTGTTGGGCAGCAGTACCAGCTGCCAAAAGTAACGGGTAGTGGGCCTGCGGTGACCAGGCCACGTTGACGTTCTTATGAAGCTCTTTTACCTTCATGTTGGATTATCGAAGGGCCGAAGCTGCACATATGACAGATATAAACCGGTAAGTAGCCGAGCAACTCGGGACAGTTGTTAGAATTAAGCAAAATAGTATGTAGGTGTATTACTTTGATCGAGACAGCGCTGAAACACCGAGCCTGTGGATAAGGATCGCTTCTTTTCCACGTAAACACAGTCACTGACACAAAAACAATAAATGTCGTGCAATATGGAATAGCGCTTTAACCTATGCCCGCGTCACACAGCCTGCACTTATGGGACAGAAGCAGGTTCGAGGAAACAGTGGGTGCGATGCACTGTATGTTTCATTCGTGCAACGTCGGCGATGGGCTGGCAGAATATTTTGCGATACGCTACGCACAGTCGACGCGAACGCCCTCGTGAGTCGCGACGACGAGGTGCCAAGCCGAGAGCGCAGACTTTGAACTGTCATTGCTGATTGCAGGAGCGAGTAAATCGCCATCATTCGAGGTACGATCGATTTCGGCCTGGCCCTTTTGTCGATCAGCGACGGCCATCGGTTGCGGTGCTTGCGAGAAAATTAGTTCTTTGTTTTTTTATAACCCTTAAGAATATCCTCGTTTCGCACCTTCATGCTAAGGAAAAAATCCATGTTCAATATTCGGTGAAATCTATAATTGCGAAAAATCGGCAAAAATAATGAAAAAATCTATTTGCGATTATAGTCAAAGCTAGGTTGATGCACTGGCTTTAACGATCTCAAACCTTTCGGATCTTGTGATTTGATCATTTACTAGTGATCTAAGACGTTATAATTGCCAGGGGTTTTGCAATTTACGAAATAGGGGCTTGTCTACAGTATATATTGTCATGAGCCGTAGGCATATTTCTTTACAAAGCACATGACATCGTGCGACACGTAGTTCAAGACGTGGACCAATACGTCGAGCTCGCGTTGTTTCAAGTTCACTACTTGTAGCTATTTACTGTTGGCTGGTGCAATAAAATGTGTGAGATTAAATTCGCGGAGGTTCGCAAAGATGGCACCACTTACAAGACCGGCTGGCTTTTTCTGACACATTTACCGATATATTATTCCACTGTGAAATTATAATAAATATTACTTTATGTTATGCTTCGATCTTAATATTTGAAGAAACAATTACTAAAAAATAAATCACCTAGCTAGAACGAACTTTTTCCCTCAAAAAAAAGAATTCTAGCGAACAAGTAAATTAATCTAATAAACACAAATACACTAATAAACACAAAAAGTGGGACTTTTTAAAAAAAATTAAAAATTTTCATTGGGACACAGAGCCAAAAACTGGTTCAATGTTATCTCTGAAATGAATAGGAATAGATTATTTGATCGAATATTTGACGAGCTAGGCGCTGACGAACTATTTTTATTTAATATATTCGTTAAATATTAAACAGATACTGAGACAAAAATAACGAATTTGTATTGAAGCCAAGTTAGACTTATGAAAACATTGTTTTTTACTAAATGTTTTGAATCGTTAATTTTGTTGTTCTCTAGACATCCACCTAGAGTTTTAGAAAATTATCAAGTGGATAACTCGAGAATAGATATTACACACTATTAATTTTCATGCAGTCTTCAATAATCCTTATAAGACAAGAAAATTTGAACATTTGACTATCTTCTCGTTCACTCCCTGTCTGCTGTGTCTAATGTTGAAAATCAAAATAAATATGAAATCTAGCCAGTGTTTGCAAGACACTCGAGTAGTCAAAGTGAGTTGTGAGGCCGTTATTACTATATAATAATATTAACTTGTAACCGCGTTGAGAAAAATTTTGAGTGTAAGGATGGACGGCCTAAACGCTAATTATAAAATTATCGAGGCGAAAGCAGACGACGATGACAATGAATTCGATGAGAAGGACATACTTGATTGTCAAGATAAACGACAAGACCGACCTCGAACACCACTGGAAGGAGAATCGACGGAAAGCAAGGACATCGTTCCTCCGAAAGTCTACAGATTGGTGCAGATCGAGGACGATGACAGCGTCGAGAATGAGCTCTTCGAAAACTACCTTACTGGCTCCAAAGACGACGATTACTCCTTGAACGTCGCAATGACGAAGGCTCTGCACCAGCAAAACCTCGATTACGTCAAAACGCTGTTGAAATGGGGAATAAAAATCCGGCCTATCGACAGTTCGGGCCGTACTTTCGTCCACGAGGCGTATTTCAACACGGAAGTGCCCGAGAACGCCGATCTTCTACTCAATTACTGCGACGAGGTGAATTACGGTGACGTCACGGGCGTGACGCATCTCCACATCGCCTGCGCCATTGGCAACATCAACGCGGTTCGCCGTTACCTCGCCGATCGGGAACTCCAAGTCGATCTGTGTTGCGGCGTCGACTTTTGGCAGCCTGTGCATGCCGCGGCCAGTGGCTTTAACAAGGAAATCCTGAAGCTGCTGGTGAATCGTGGCGCCGATCCTTTCTCGCCCCTGGCCGAGACTGACCAGACCCCCTGGACCATAGTCCTGCGCACCAAAGCCTGGCCTCTAGGCATTCGGCGCGAGTCCAAGCTCGGCACGATCGAGTTCTTCCTGGACTATGCCAAACGGCGCGAGGGCTTCGATCCGATCTACGACATCTGCCTCGAGTGTCGCGAGTCGACGGATTTTCTGCGCGAAGCCGTGGCCAATTGCGTTCGCAACGGCTTCGACGACTTTGCGAGGCTCGACCGGAGCGGCCGGACGATTTTGCACGCTCTGGCCGAGAGAGCGGAGGAAAACGAGAGCTACGTAGCCGTGGCCAAGATGTTGCTTGAGAATTTCCGGCTCGACGTCGACGTGAAAAATTCAGGTGGACAGACGCCGCTCGACGTCGCAGTGCACAATCTTAATATGGATATGACGAGGCTGCTTATTCGTCACGGCGCCGACCCGGCCTTCGTTACACTCCACTGGCAGGAGTTCAATTTTCAAAAAATTGAAAGATCGCCGCTGTCGATGTACCGAGACATCTGGAACACCGTGCGTGTACTGGTATCGGCGGGATTCCACATGGACTGGGAGAAATTCCTTCAAATTTATATTATTATTCGGGCTTTTATCGAACATGTTTCCATCGGCCAACGGAATCGCATAACGAAGACGTTGCAATACGGTAAGTATAAATTACATTTCTCATAATACTCTACGATCGAAGCGTCGTGTCGTAAAAAATCAAGAACAACAACTATTTGTAACAGGCGAAATAGAACTATTCCAAAACGCCTACGACAAAGTATACAAGGATAGTAGTGAAAAGGACGAGCACCAAATGCGCAAAAATCTGCTGTTCGACCTTTGCGAGTATCAAAACATCGTGGAAATCGGTAAAATGAATACTGCCAACGGCATCCCAATTAAAAAATTCATACTTTTGAAGGTGGAAAGTTTGCGTGAAGAACTCGGCATTGGAGATAAAAGCGTAGATCTGAATCCGTACAAGCTGGAGATCAACGAAATGGCAAAGACGCCGATCAACGACAAGGGCGAGACGCTCCTCGATATTTGCCAATTCGACAGCTTTCAGACGTTCAAGTTACTGCAGGCAGCTAATACCGATTTGCTCTTCCGCAAAACTGACTCTTTGCCCCTGATCGGCGAACTCGTGAAGAGTTACGTGTTCAAGGCCTATGTCAGAGGCTACTGCATCTCGGTGGGAGCGAATTTTATGACGAGGTTCTGGAAGATCCCAAAAAATATTTCCGAAAAAATATTGGACTACATGAATAATGAACAGATTATGCATTACGTGAGGTAAACAAAATTAATGCATATTATAATTACTGTGTACCATTGCAAACTTCATCTAAGAGTTAAGTTTCGCGTGAATTTAAGTAAAAATTTTCTCCATAAAATTCACTTTTTGGTTACAGTAATAATAATGTAGGTATGAACATTTTCGAAGAACATTGAGTTTTAGTAAAAACATAAATTCAAACGTGTTTTCCGAGTGTTCAACCGAATATTTTGGAAAAAATTACGAGAAGTATTGGGGATTGAACGATTGTTTCAGCTAAGTTACAAGCGGTCTAAGGTTCTTTTGGGACAGCCGAACTTACAAAGGGCTCTGACTATCGTTTAATCTCCAATATAAAGACCGAGCAACAATTTCTATAGCTTTTCACACCAATCAAACTGTAAATTTCCTTCTCGGCTTAAGATTTCCTTAAAAACCCGAATATCATGCATTTTACGAAAAAATGTATAAAAATTGTACAATTAAATTGTTTACTCAATCGACATAGCTTGATATTCAAGTATTATACTTCTTTTTAAATTGTTCTATCGTAATGTATTAATATTAAAGTGCCATACGCTTGTTCTACAGTGAGAATTGGAAGCACGTAGAGTCTAAGGCAAAAACTCAGCCACTTGCAAATGCGTGTGACATTATACCATTATCAGGAAAAGGGAAAAAATATTTTCAGTGCTGCAGCATACTCTGAAATCGCTCATTGTTAGCTCAAGAATGTAAGCATGCCCATGCATTCGTTGTTTCCCATGAGTCCTATTGCTAGAAGACATGACGAATGATTTCTACGTCAGGTATCAAAGTAATGCTGCTATTATTTGATTTTATAAACAAAATAAATTTTAATATCTAAAAGAAAATATTTTATAAATTAATTCAAGAAAAAAATGTGTAAGTATATGTATATTTGTATGAGATAGGTATGCTAATTCTTTATATGTTCATATTTATGTATAATTTATGTAATAATAACGATACATGCATAGATTTTCAAAATACATTATTAAAATCACTGAAAAAAACTTGTAAATTGTATCACATGCCATTTATGTACAAACAGATGGTTGTTATTAATAGAGTTGTTCGCATCGTCGCTGCTATATCTCCAAATATTAGCTTAGGACTATAAAAGAAGAAAATTGTTGCTCTAACCGTAGTCGCTAAATCTGCCAATTTTAAAAAAGGCCACTTCCATTAGTCAACTTGTTCCAAAACTTTTTTGGCATTTTGTTCTCTTAAGTTCGAGTTGAAAAATAGCAATGATTAAAAACAAAAAATGGACAATTTTTGAAAATTTTCGGACTTTTTCGGATTGAAAATGGCTTTTTTTTAAAACGGACAGGATTTGGATGCCACTATTAGGAATCGTAGAAAATGTGAGAACTGGCATTTTTTTAAACAAACAACATCCGGCTCAGAGCCAATCGAACATTTTGTTAGCTCGATCGTGGCACACAGTAGGTTCGATCAGCGAGAAAAAAGCTCGAAAATCGTTATATTCTCGAGATCATCGAGGAAAGGGAAGAATTGAAAGCCAAAGCGTATGCAGGAGTATCTGCGAGCGGAGCTCGTGCTTATAGGGATGTTACACACGTAAAGTCGGGGCTGCGTAGATAAAGGTGGCGATGGTGGTGGTGGCGACGTCGCTGTACGTATATAGGCTCCGCGCGTGTACGTGACACGCTTGGCAAAACTCTAATACTCTCCTGTCTCGCTCTCTCAGGCTTTGTGCTTATATTATTATAGTCTAGCTCTCTCTTTCTCTATCTCTCCGCAGTAACAGGCAGGTATATATACTCTGCCTTTGATACGTGTATTTGCAGGCTAACTAACCAGTCTTTGCATGTATCACGTCGCACACGATAGGCGCGTATACCTATAGAGAATATCCGAGTCTGACTATATATATCTGTAGACTATATCAGTATAATGGTGTGTATCACGAGCTCGAGCTCGCTATTTCTCTAACGCCACATACATGTATAGCTACCCTCTTTCTTTCCGCATTGCACTTCAGGCACGAAGACGGAGAAATTCCGGGTTTTATAGAAATATACGCGCTACGAGACATTTTATCTCGATTCAATTCATTGGCAATTGGCTCTCGATATATATTCATAATACATCAGATTCGATCGAATATTATGTTTGAGAGATTAGATCGTGCGTTTCTTTCAGATTCAGACCTCCATCGCAATTGATCGCAGCGATAACACTGTTGTACTTTTGATATTTCGATCATCGTGTAATATTTAATTGTAAACTAGGTAGAGAAATTTATTTCTACAAGCTATCATTTTACTTAAATCATCGATAATCTAGAGCATAAAAAAATTTAATGCATGATAAAGTTGACAATTAGAATAATCATCAAACCTGCCTGACTGTAGTATTTTGAAAAGACAAAAGTACCATGTACAAATTTAAATGAAAGGTTATCATTGAAAAATTATATCGTCAATGAGACTCCACACTTTCATTCCGAATTGATCCTACTGCGCCAAAGACTCCATTATTCATCGTTTTATTTTTCATGTCAACACTAAAGCGACGTTTTAAGCGACTTAATAGTGTCTTTTTCAGTACACAGCCAAAATTACTCGGAAATTATCATTGCAATTATCGTCAATTATGGCCAAAAATTTCGTTTACGCACGCAAAGTCCTAAACGCCTCGAAGCGAGCATGCACGACTTTCTTTTTTAGTAGCGAAAAAACAAATAGACCGTACAATGCTCGAGCTGCGGTTTTTAAGATCCTCGCGAGTCGTATGCTCGGTCCTCATTGTCTCCGAGAAGGAGAGAGACCAAAATTCAATGCCATGTTTAAACACCTGTGTACAATACGTCTAAAAATATCGAGGGAGAAAAATAAGCCTCTCAACTTTAAATTCGAAGAAGACTCAAATTAACGAAGGATCGGCCTAATATAGTCGCGTGTGCAAGCAACGCTCTGACGTCGCGGTTTTTTTATTTATTTTTTTATTTTTTTTTATCTATGACGTTTGAAATAATAGCCCGAAGCGATTTACAATGCGATCGAGCATGAACAATTGAGCTATGAAAGTAACTTTCTGTAAAATTTGAACAATTTTTATAAAATTAGTAGTTTAAAATTGATGCAGTATTTTTAGAAAAACTTGATTGATTCATACGCAGGTAGGTTTGTCTGGAAAGCTCCTAATGGTCTTTACTTAGGGGTATTAGTTACACTGCTCTATTCAATAGCGATTCGATACGCGCGTGCGGCTTCTTACGTGTATAGATTCGGGCGGTGGCACTATCATCCCTTGCTCCGGTCTGGCAATAAATCAAAGCATTCGAAACGCAATGCATTATCATTTACAGGACCGGTCGTGACTGCTCGTGTATTTTCACATAAATGTATACTTAAGACCGCTCAAGCTCATAAACCGGGGGGTACGAGACATTGCCGCTCTCCGACTTTAAAACTCGGCCGAATATAAGTGTAAGTTGGGCGAAAAACGTCGGCTCGCGATGTTTGCGGTTTATTTTTCTTTCCATTTTGGATTGATGATTACGTCTCGGAGGGCTCGCGTAATATCCGGATAGATATTTCAATTATCCTTCAAAAATCTCCGTGTCGAAGTGTGGAGCAGATTATTAGCTTGGGATTTTTTTTATAAATCGTTTGAATTTGGAGCATTATTCGTGACTTATATCGATCAATCCCGTTATTGCTTGGATCGGCACGCTTTTTTGCCTTTATAACCGTGTACATTATAAGGCACCGAATCAATACAAAATCATAATTCGTCCGCTGGGTGCCAAGCATACAATTTAGACATTTTCACTCGTATACAATGTAAGCATGTGACACATATAGTGTAGGCTGAGCGACACCCTCGTGGATATTGAACGTGGATATTTCGCCACGCATAAATCGGAATATTGAGCCGATATATTTCCACTTTGGGATATACGCGCGAAGCGAAAAAATAATATTCAGCGATCGCGAGAGTGAAAATTGTTCTCGCACGCACTAATAGACAAAGTCATAGACAAAGAGTTGAAATAAAGGAAAAAATAAAAGAAACGCTTCTGGGCTAAAAGCGAAATCTATCGGAGCGTAGTTGACGATTAGTCAAATAAGTACTAGGCATACTCTGCGGTACTCACTGTAGGTGGTCCTGGCTCGGGTCCGGACACAATAAGTGTAACGGAACCTCCGCATTTATTGACAACATAGGTCCGCACGCGCCGCATGCACTCGGATAATGCGAGGCTGCGAATTGCTTATATAGGGTCGACGACGGGCTAGTGGAATCGAATCTGTCAATTATTTGCGCATGCGAGTCGAGCCGTGAGCTTAACGCTTGGTTAGTGTTAATTGCCAACAATGGCCCGGGCGCTCGCTATAAACACATAGGTGCGCGTATTACAGGCCGTAAACACGTATAGTCCACCAGCTGCTTGCACATAGCCTCGAGGTGTCTTCCAGCATCGCCTTTATGTATACCTAATAACGTTCGATGCATGTGCGCGGCGCACGCCCAGTTCTACATTACGCACTGTTCACGTATAATACGTGTGCCCGATGTACCGATTAATTTTAACAACTCGTTTTTCCTTTCGAATTTTTACCATAAATATAAATAAGTGCAAAAGAACAACGAAATTAAGAGAGTTTAAACGCGTAAATCTCGAATAGACTCTAAACCCATGCCATATGAATAGAGATTGGAGGAAGGTATCGCTAAAGCCTCAATTTGTCATGCCGCTCTGCCAAAGCGTTGATAAGCTTGCGATTTCGTGGAGCAGCCATACGTATACACGAGCTCGTCGCGCGAGTCTGTTCCTAGAGAGACTCCAGAACTCGCTATCCGGCGGCAAATGATTGAAATGCTGCTCGTGTTTGCACACACCTCCGGCTTCGACACCTATACATGCTGTATTATACACTGCTGCAGCTCCGCAGAAGCGGTGCAAGTAAGCGAAGGCTAATTCCAGGAGCACCCGGACAAAAGGTATTATTCGCGCTTCTCTGCCTCGCCACTGCTGCTGCTGCTGCTGCTGCTTCGTGCTATATATACGTCGCTGGGGCATTATCAAGCCTCTGCGAAGCTGTATATACATCTATAATAGAAGATAGCTGAAGAAGTTTTGTGTTTCATGGAGATCGAGGAGGAGGAGGAGGGCGTCTTAGTTAATCACTATAATTGATATTCCAAGTCGCGCTGCGCGATATCGCGTCGCCGGCTCGTCGCTACCTAACGGGATAACGAACTAAAACTGATTAAAGGGAGAGTCTCCTTTATTGACTGCTGCATGCCAGCTCCTTCGTGCCAGCAGCAGCAGCAGTAGTCTATATATAAAGCTCCTGACTCGGAGGAAGAGGAGGAGGACAAGCCGAGGACTCTCCATGTATATAGAGCTCGTTCTCTCTCTCTCTCTCGGGCGCAGCAATCGAATTATTCGATTATTCGACACCCCTTTCGCGACGATATATTCTCGCGCACTCCGAGGTATTATAAAGACCGAGAGCGAGAGAAAAGTTTCATGATCGTCGCAGCTCGCGCTCGAGTCGATAACAAACTGTTTCATCATGCATTTATGCATGCTAGTGACGAACTTGCAAGAAAAAAAGAGAGAAAAAAGGGCAAAAAACAGCAGTCCTCAGAACTCTTTGCTAATATTTTGGCCTATCGCTTTCGCGCATATTCGCAATATAAACAGATATACGCGTGGAGACTAACTTTTTTTAGTTCTACGCCCATCGCAGCTTTTCTCAACGGTGACTGACGCACGAGTGTGTGCGTTTTAGAAATTCCTGTCTTTGTTGCTTCGCGTACAAGCAAACGTTGGATCAAATTATAAGCGAGGCATTAAACTGTCCGCGATGTCCTGTTTTTT